GAAAACAAAACAGTTTCATTCTCCAACGAATGGTTTACGTGTGGAGCGGTCCTGCCTTTGCTCACACCAACTTCATTCCTCAATACACGGTTTACGTGTGGAGCGGTCGTGCACAAGCATACTCGCAATTTTAAACCAGTCTAAATTTTTGGAAAACTGAACAAATCGAGAAAACTTTTCTGGTAATATATATTTTTTAATTCGCATTGGGTCAAACTCAGCTAACTGTTTGGGTTGAATACAGGTTGCAGTTTTTAGTCTGATTTCATCACTGTCTGCAAAGCAAACCTCAAACACCTATCCCGGAACGAACCGAACAGATCAAAAGGACAAATAGAAGCTAGGCAGCAGGGAAAACAAGTTCAAAACAATTCAACTCATCACATAGGTATAACCCCTTTCTAAAATTCCTCAATCTCACACTCACACACTTTCATTTGTCCCATAATGCGAACTGACAATTGTATTTGGAGAAAGCCCTCTGGGAGGAACTCTCTCCTCAAAGAGTATTCCAAACGATCATAACCATATCAACATAGTCCACAACAATCAATACCACTGTAAGTTGCCAGTATGTGCCAAAATGCACAAATCAGGTGTTTCACAGAGGATATAGGGTACTACACACCCAAACTATAGAATTATGCTTCAACTGACAACATGCGTTCGATCTATTACAACAATAAACGCTTAATATAAATTTATAGAAAACCGTTGCTATGGTGAATGAAGGCATGCATCGAATGTTTAATTAAGTCCCGAAAATTGGACATTTTCAGAAATATCAAGAAAGAAATCAGAAAATTGTTCTCGGATTTCCTGAAAACAGTATGAGACACAGTTCAACCAGCAGACAGAGTTATATGAGACGGACAAACTTCGGATACAAACATTTAAACTTGTAGCGTCGACGAAAAACCGAGCCATCTCACACACCATGGAATGGTGGAAATAACTTCCAACCTTGTTATATTCGAACACGGTAGACATCAAACCGTTAACTGGGGTCTTTACGTAATAATTTTTTTTGGGACGCCTAACTTCGTATATTTTTATCATATCTTGAAACAGCTCCAAGCGATGTACATTATGCTTTTAATGTAAAGTAACAAATATAAATATATGTATTATTGCGATGGCACTCAAAATTTATTCTTTTGAAAGACTATTCCGTATTTTCGTATCATTTCCGCTTGTCGCTTGTGGTAGCTCAATGCAGTCGTTGTATATATTCAACTTGTCTTTTGTGATCGCAATACTATT